TGTCGCGAAGTTTGTGAGCGTCTTCCCCTTTACCCAGCAAACTAGAAACAACCCGAAAATCATAGTTACTGTCACCACTGACATTGATGATATGTTCAATGTACTTGTGCATAAAAATCAGCATCTCCTCGATGAATGGTATTTTTGGTGGAGTAAGTGTATGAGGTGTTTTTCTAATACAGACACCTTTGAAAACACTTTTTTGACATTTTGGAGTAGGCGAGTCAGGATAAACTTTGTCAATGTGTTCAAAATATGAAGGACTCCTCTTTATTGAATTATCACCCGGTGTTGGTTTCACCTTATTAGGTGCCCCTTTAGTTTTACCGGTTGAGATGGTGGTTTCAAGTCAGTGGTCTCCGAGAATGAAATCTTCCTAAGTTGCTCTTTGATGTGGAGTTTGGTGGGTGCATGGGCTCTCAAAAATATTTCTTGTATCGCTTTCCATTCAGTCAAGATGGAGATACTAGATTTGTCGTCTTTCATTTTAGTGTCATCTTCAAAACTGAGACTCTTCTAATGATTGGAGACCTCGTACATACGTATCGCGCAATCAACTTTCATTTTCTTAGATATGACACAAGCACGAGGGAGTCCATATGTTTTCACAATTGTGCAAGTTCACTTTGAGCTATCGGAACCTACATTAGAAGCTCGTTTGACTTCATGAAAAATGTAATTCAGAGTTGACCGAGAGATCTTACTGACCAAATGAGAATATAGTGTGTTGTCTTTGAACCTTGTTCCAACGTCGTGATATTACAATCAAATGTTACTTGTATCTCATTATGTTGGTTTAGTATCATATGGATCACAGAATATCATCCCGTAGTCAAATCACCCTTGTTATTTTCCAACCAATTCTTCAGACATGCATGAGCAGACTCAACTTGGTTTATTGTTGTATTTTCGAGGTGCATAACTTGATCGGTCCATGCACAAACATTTTTCTTCTTCACCTAATCAAGTATTGTGCTTTCAACATATTTCAATAGATCGGAATATTTCACAGACATTTCTAAAATGTAAAACAACATCATCGTATATCTCTTTTGTAGATGAATTTATGATAACATTTCATGCATCCATAATTTTCTCCACAATAACACCAGCCTTGACCAGTTTTCCATCTTCACCTGCAAATTTTTTTGTTCGTATCGCGGGTTTAACCCGACTTCTCACATTTTTAGTAATATGGTACCTACAAAGTAATGCATAAGAAGAGGAAAATATTGTTGCAACCGAATTCCTTAATATTGTATCTCGGTTGGTAACAATTACTTTCGACATATCTTCTTGGTATTTCAACATCGACCGACAAACCTCTAAATCCCATTTAAAAATATCCTCTTTTTCTCACTCTAGAAATGCAAAATCAATCGAATATGTTTTCTCAATCGACGTAACATCAACAATTTCCAACAATTGAAACATGTAATTGTTGGTCTTATACGTTGAATCAATTATGAGCACAGTGGAAAATATATTGAACAACTTAATGGAATCAGGATGATTCCAATAAATGTATCTTACTGTTACCCCATCCTCACATCTTCGGTGCATACAAACATAATGGTTTTCATCTAGAAGTTTCCCCATCCTCACATCTTCGGTGCGTACAAACATAATGGTTTTCATCTAGAAGTTTCAAGAGGTGTTGCATTTCAGTTTGATCTCCCTTAGCGCTAACTTGAATAAATAGCGCCTATTGTACACTTGCTTGATATTTGATGTATTCTCGGGTCTTTTACACTTCAAGGTTGCAAGTATATTTTTGGGCGGTACCAAATTCAATGTCATGTCGAAAATACATGTCTTCTCATCCGGAAGGAACCGACATGTAATTGGATGACAAGTTAACCTTAAACTTAAATCATGATTGTGTAAACCACATATCACATTAAATCTTATTTCTTATTTGCCAACAGATTACCACGCAATTTAAATGGACATTCACATTTCCTTGAACTGGTGTCGTCGTGTTTCAAATTTTGGGCCTGACGCATATATTTCACACTTTTCGCATGTCTAAGTCATAAATACACATCTTTTATCCATACCATTATTGGACCTTCCAATCACAACACCAAACTCTGGTAGCCTATGTACAAATCCACTGCAACAAGTTTTCACGTAATCCAAACTCTTCTTCAATTTCAAAATGACCACGAATATCTACCGTCTTAGTTACGAGAAGAGATATGAAAGGTGAAACAACTTGAGACACATCAGATTTGTGAATGTTATATGGATGCACCAATATCTAATGTGATAAAAAAAATAAAACTAATTAACATATAGTTGCTAGAAAATTAAACACTCATAAGAACCGAAAATCAGATTAATGTGAAGAATGAAGATTGAAATGAATAAATTTGACCTGAAGTCTGATTCCTTTAGCTCGTTTTGATATGATGAACCACGAGAATGAAGATTCGGAGTGAAAAAATAGATTGAGAATGGAAGAGTTTTTAAGAAGGTCTATGGAAAGAAGAAGAATGAGGATGATCATCCTTCAACATGTATATTTTTCATAATACCAGATATATATTTTCAGTTATATATAAATTTGACAAGGTGGCAGAAAATTCAATATTTTTCCTATACAAATCAGAAGTAGAATACCGATTGCAACTATCGATTATGTTGTCTTTTAAATAGAATAAAACCATATTTAATCTGTTTGTATGTGAAATATGGTACGCACCGAAAATATATATCCGATTTCTAAAGACATTTTAGAGAATGCTTAAGATTTTTCTTTTCACTATATGATAGAAAGAGAAATTGCCTTAAAAATTATATTCGGTTGTTTGTAAAATCTAAGTGTTGGTTTCTATATAAGAATCTTTCTACTATAATTTATCTTTTAAAAAACATTCAACTTTTTCCAACCTAACAACTCCAAGAGTTTAACTAAAAGAGTTTCACAAATTACTTCATAATTATATTTCAACAAAATTATTTATTTTAATAAATTTTATTAAGTGAGATCTGCCCAAAGAAAGGAGCAAAACAGTGGAGTGCTTCAATCAGTTGTCTTCAATCTCTATAAGCATTTAAATTATTTGATCAACAATGAGAATTTCTAATTAGTTTGGTACTAAATAGGTGAAACACCAACCACCATTGTGAATGCTCTAAATAGGTGACATAGGTGATAGGTGAAGCACTCATCGCTGTTCTCTGCTTGCAGCATCAATTATAAATCACGTTTCAGGTAAGCTGCTCTATCAAGTATCAGTCATTAAGTTTTGGTGGCGAGAACTTCCTGCCTAGAACTAAACTACCAAAGATACTAAAACGACACATACATGGCTACAAGTATTACTAGAAGCTGATGTATAATCTATACTTATCTCCCAGATCATTAGTTTATGTTTGAAACTCCACAAGGCATGAACTAGAAACCATTGTGTTATAAGGTTCTGTTTAAAACTTTGAATTTGAGCTAGGCAATCATTTCTTCAGGTATATGAATTGTCAAAACTAGCACTAGAATCGATCCTTTCTTCAGGTGTATGAATTGTCAGAACTAGCAATAGAATCAATCGACATTAAACACAATATAAACACTAGTCTATACGGCATGAAAGCCTTTCATATCCAAGCACATGAAACTTTAATCTAATCTAAACATAAATATTAAGAAATCTTGCTACACGCTATACAAGTACAACTTCAGGAACTTATGTTGTTTCCTACCGATGTTCCTAAATAAGCTGATTGGGCCAACCCGTGCTCAAACAGGAACGGGTTAAGAGGGAATTCATCCATAGTTTAAATCCTTTGACATAGAAATTACCAACCTAGGACAACTAACACAGAAAACTCAAGTAGCAAGAGACTGTCCCAGCAAAGCCTAACAAGCCCTGCTTGTTACAATTGTCATTTAATCCAAACAAATTTCGCAATACCTGCAAAGACAAGACTGACTATGATTAAAAACCACCAAAGGGTTGACTATGATTAAAAACCATCAGTGTTTTTGTCAAGCACACTATCAATGCTTGTTATAAGAAAAGACTTGTATCAATTAAAATGAAAATTAGTATGACATTGGCCAACAGTGTGGCTTGGAAGCCCCAGAACGAGCCATTCAGACACAGAAGATCACTTAGGAGTTATCTCTTAAAAGAAACAATTTATTTGCCTCGGAATTTGAAAAGTATCTTAGACCAACTGTAGGACAAATGGGAAATCAGTTATACTTTGGACTTGTTAATGTTTGACAATCCTCCAAATAAATATAAAGACTAAATGTATGACAAATGGGAAATCAGTTATACTTTTGGACTATTTGAATGTTTGACATTCCTCAAAATAAATAAAAAATGAAGAATATAATCGTAGACTTCAGATTTACAGAAACAACAAATGAAGAAATATGATTCAACAATAAAAATCAAGCTATACAATCCTTCAATTACAACAAGCATCGTCACTTCCGATAACCAAACCCTTTTGTCCAGAGTGGAATCAGATAAATGGATCAAACACGCTGTAAATGCCTTACCCTGAATCATCTTTCTTTTTTTATAAATTAGCATGAATCATTTCTAATATGTGATACCAAACCAGTTCACATACAAATAAGCATAATGTGTTCTGAAAATATCATTTCCTATGTGGCAAAAATATCACCCCAAACTGTTGTGTCTAACACCAACATGGAAAAAAAATCCATTCATTTACTGGATTATAAGTTACTACCAGTTTTAAAATTAACCTGAAGAGCCAAGATCTATAAAATGACAAAATTTACAAACTATAAAATCATCTGAATTTAAGAAAACAACATTTTGTACTATCAAACTTTTCTCCCAAAACTGGTTCTAACTAGTATTCAATTAAAGAAAATTTTCTCCTATGCATTTCATTTTATCTGATTCGACAACACTTGGAAGATAAAAATAACTTATCAATCTGGTAGAAAAATATTCATTAAAACTTACACAGAAATACAACCAAGAATATGCATTGTTACCATGTTGGGTCGTCTATACAAGAAGCTCGTCTTCAAGATAATTATACTCAAAAGTGAATTCCGTCTTGATTCTTTGACACCTGAATGAATCATCACACCAAGTTAAAGAAAAGTCTAGGGAAAAAGTATAAAATCAGCAAAGTATCGTATTAAATACACAGCTAAAATTAGGCTGAAAATAAAAATAACAAAGTTAACTCAACATACCATCCATGTTGCAGGTCATCATTTGCAATATGAAAATCAAAGTACACATATGTTCCCTGCTCAAAATCATCTGTAGCAACTTTGGGCTCTTCATGCCGCTGAAACCATGTATTATACTTTCGGTGGTATCTCCAAGACTGCTTCTTTAGCTCCTTTGCAGCCAAATATTGTTGGTATGTGTTCTACAGAAAAAATGAATATAAGTTACACCTGACTGAATAACAATAATAATATTAATCACATAGCATGTTCAGGTACCTGTTGATAATAAAATGCAAAGAACAGGGTGTCAGTGCCATATGCCTCAAGACCTAATCTCTCCCAAAAGGCAGGGTTGTTAACTATTGGCGCTTGAACTTGTGGATAGCTAGGAGGTGTAATTGTTGGATGCCTCTACACAACCACAACAAAATGGAAATTAAAATTAATGGTAAGGGCAACCATATAATAAATTATTTAATAAGTAAACCGAAATCCATACAGGAGTATAGGTTCTAGGACGTTCTGAGTCTTTAGCTAGTGGAACTTTAAAATGTGCTGCCTCAAGCATTTGTAAATTATATAGTTGATCGCGCACTCCACCAGAATTAACACTTGATGCACTAAAGCTATCACCAATGGCTCCAAGTTCAACACCATTTCTTCTTCCAATGACACCAAGGTGGCCAGCAGATTGATTTGATTGTAAAGGTTGACCAGGAGACAAATCAATATCTCTGGAAATTTGAGCAGCTTCTGGAAGAGATGCAGATGCACCTGCCTGTAGCATAAACAACAAATAGGCAATCAATATCATCAACAGAATCCACATGTGCACACGGATCAAACAAAATGCATATTTTGCTATCTGCAAATCAGGTAAGTCCAAAACACCTGACATCCCATAGCCACATGCCTCTCGCCAGCTTAAAATATGGACTAATATAGAGTTGGTCATCTGGTTTTCATATCACATGTTACCTGTCTATATAACTAAATGCTAAATTTGTTCATGTCTAAAACCAAAACAAGAGGGGGGAAAATATAAAACTTCAACAAATGCATATGCTCTATATTTCCTTCAAGCATTTTAAAAATAAAAATAAAAATTTATTCTACAGACATTCTTTGAAATAAACATTAATATGTGCTTCTGCAAGTTTTGAAGTGATTAAGATAGATCTTAAAATAGGAAGAGATCACAAGTTAATCGACGTACAGGTGAATCTACAGCATATGTTGATTTCAAATCATCTTCAACTATGAGATTCTTGCCAATCCCTGTGCTAGTAGATTCAGTTGTTGACTCGTCGGGAAAACTCTGATGTTGTTGTTCTTCAATTTTATCTGCACAGTTCAAAACATGAAATATAACCCATCTCTCGTAATAATGCCAATCCTAGATTAAAAATAAAAACAATTATTGTACTCTTGTGAGAGATGTATTGTTCACACATTGAACTTTAGATGATTCAATTATCATTGAAGTCATTTTTAAACTTGACTCACACCAACTACGAGAAATCTTATTCCTGATTGACTTACTGGACCTCAATGACTTCATAGAAAACAATCACTTCATGACATGATATTGACATTTCAGATATTTATTTATTCATTTAGAGGGGAAGTCAAAATAGAGACTCCTTAAACACAAAAGTACCATGAAGGAACAAACAGCGAGATTTTTTCACAAACACATCACTTGATTTCTCAGCATGATAAATATTTAATATTCCTATTCATAATATTCTCTTTTTGGAAAACAAAGGATATACAGGGAAAAAATATCTATTATGTACAGCTTGCTAAACAATCAGAGCAGAATCAGAGTTGTTAATAGCGGCCGGAGCGGCCGCTATCGCGGCGCTCCAGAGCGGAGCGGAGGCATGCCACGCGCGCACAAGGGTGCGGTGGCGGAGAGAAGATAGCGGGCACTATCGCCGCTATCCCGGGTCGCGGATAGCGGGCGCCTCCCGGGCGGAGCGGTTCGGGCCTGGTTTTTTTTTAATTTTTTGGGCAAAATTACTATTTTACCCCTCATTTAAAATACTTTTTAAAACAGATTTGCTATTGTATTTTCTTTCCTGCGTTACGGTTTCTCACTTTCTTCTTATGCCCTAATTTTTGTGCGCTTCTTTTCCACTCTTCAACTTCCACCGTTCCAGTTTTTGTGCCCTTCTTCTCCACTGTTCGACTTCCACCGTTTCAGTTCCAGCAAGACAGCAACATACAACTGCAGTCTGCATCTTCTCCACCGTTCCAGGCTTCCACAAGGCAACACTTCCACCGTTCCACTGTTCCAGTTCCAGCAAACAGCACTTCCACCGTTCCAGTTCCAGCAAACAACACTTCCACCGTTCCAGTTCCAGCAAACAGCACTTCCACCGTTCCAGTTCCAGCAAACAGCACTTCCACCGTTCCAGGCTTCGGGTAAATATGGCAGCTTCTTCGTCGACACCCAATTCTGCGTCGGTTGCTTCATGTGCTCCAACGTTCAAACCAACCAATAGTAAGGACATAGGATGGAAATACAATCATTTGAAGGATTTGAATAACAAGAAGAAGGTGACATGTGATTTTTGTAATTTAACTAGCAGTGGGGGAATAAGTAGAGCCAAAAGGCATCAATTAGCAATACCGGTGATGTAGTTTCTTGCACGAAAACACCCGAGGATGTTAAGGCTATATTACGCGCGGACATGGTTGAGAAGGAGAGAATTAAGAAAGGAATACAAGAGGTTTCGGTGCAATTAGATGTGGATGATACCATTGATATTGAGGAAATACGTAGAATTCAAACCGGAAAGAGGATGGTTGCGAGTGAGACCTCTTCAATGGTTGTCAAGAGGACTAAGGGACCGCTGGATTTGGTGTATAAGAAGAGTAAGGACACAAGCATCAATGATGCGTGTGATAAAGAAGCAAGGGCAAGAAACATCCAATATATTGGTTGCTTTTTTTATACGTGTGGAGTTGCTTTTAACGTAGCAAATGCAAGAGCTTTTAAGTTGATGTTGGAAGCCGTTGGAAGTTATGGTCCTCATTTGAAACCGCCAAGTTATCATGAACTCGGGGTTCCAATCCTTCGAAATGAGTTGGAATATACAAAATGTTTGTTGAAAAACCAAGAGGTGCAAAGGAATAAATATGGATGTTCAATTATGTCGGATGGTTGGACGGATAGAAAAGGTAGAACATTGATTAATTTCTTGGTCAATTGTCCGACGGGGACCATGTTTGTGAAAAGTGTTGATGCTTCTAACTATGCCAAGACGGGGGAAAAGCTAGCCGAGTTGTTGGACACTTTTATTGAGGAAATGGGTGAAAAAAATGTTGTTCAATTGATTACCGACAATGGAAGTAATTATGTAGCGGCGGGTAAAGAACTGTGTTTGAGGAGGCCTCACATGTTTTGGACTCCATGTGCTGCCCATTGTATAGACCTTATGTTAGAAGACATAGGCAAAATTCCAAAGGTTCAAAAGGTTATACATTTATAATCATACTTTTGCTTTGAATCTAATGAGAAAGACTACGGGTAATGTTGAATTGGTTAAACAAGGAGTGACAAGGTTTGCTACCCATTTCCTTTGTCTACAAAGGATGCAAGAACTAAAAGGAAAGCTTAGAGAGATGTTCCTTTGTGAAGAATGGACGAGTTCCAAGTGTGCCAAAGATGCTGAAGGATAAAGGGCAGCTACTACTATACATACGATATCATTTTGGAATGATGTTCTTTACACTCTTAAGTGCATGGCGCCTCTTGTAGATGTGCTAAGAATGGTTGATAATGAAAGGAAACCCGCAATGGGATACATATATGCCGCAATGGGGGTAGCGAAGGAATCAATTGAGAAAGCTTTTAGTTCAAATTCAAGCAAGTACGAAGCCGTATTTGAAATCATTGATAAAAGATAGGAGTGTCAACTTCATCATCCGCTACATTCTGCAGGTCACTATCTCTATCCTGAATATTATTATTCTAAACCAGAAATTGAGAATAATGGTAGATTGGTGAGAGGCCTCCGTAAGTGCATTGAGACACTGAGTGAAAGTTATGCAGTGGAAGATTTGATTTCAGAACAATTGTCACAATACAGGGGTGCTACAGGTCTCTTTGGTATAAGAGCGGCAATTAGACAAAGGTCGACATTAGCTCCAGGTAAGATGGAATGATTTTTTGATTTTTTACATATGATACACTTTGTGTTATGTATATGGAAATGAAATGATTTTTTACAATTACTTGCAGCTGAGTGGTGGAAGTCTTATGGAGCCGAAACTCCGGAGTTGGAATTGTTGGCTGTTAAAGTGTTGAGTTTGAGTTGCAGTGCTTCCGGATGTGAGCGTAACTGGAGCATCTTTGAGCATGTGAGTATTAATTTTTTACTAGGATTAGGATATTAAAGTATCTTACATGCAAGTATTATTAAATTAATACTTCAAATTATTGTATTTTAGATTCATTCCAAGAAGAGAAATAAATTGGAACATTAAAGATTGCAAGACTTGGTGTTTATCAAGTATAATCAAGCTTTGGTAGAGAGGTTTGAAATTCGGGATAAAATTAATCCAATGGAATTTAACGAAATTAATTTCCACACCGAATGGTTGGTGGGAGAGATGGAAAATGTAGGAGATGATGGTGAAGACTTGGTTCATCCAAATCATGATTTAACTTGGAGTCAAGTTGCCGATGCTAGTGGGGCTAATGAACCTATAATCTACTAGGGATGTCAGTTTGGACCTGTTAATGGGGATCCCCGCGGGGAACGCCCCGTTCGGGGCCCCAAAGATGGGGAATTTTCCCCCGTGGGGGCGGGGATGGGGAGAAAAATTCCCCCGAAAGCATTTCGGGGACGGAGACGGGGAATACACCCCCCGCCCCGCGGGGACCCCGCCCCGCCTATTATTTTAATATAGTTAATTTAATATATATATTTTAGATTAGGTTTTTTAGTCATTTCCTTTATGTTTATTTATAAAAATAAATAAATAAATATTCATGTATTTATTAAGAGAGAGAAATGTAAATACTAGTATTTTTTAATAACATAATAAATATGTGAATTCTTTGTGCTTTTTATTTTTATAGAAAATATAAACATTTTAAAAAAATAAAATATTAATGAATAAATGTAGGATCTATGGGGATCCCCGCGGGAAACGGGGATCCGCGGGGAACGGGGATGGGGATAGAAATTCCCCCGTGACGGAGATCGGGGACGGGGACGGGGAATGAATTTGATGGCGGGGAAAAAGATGGGGAAGTGTCCCCCCGGCCCCGCCCCGCCCCATTGACATCCCTATAATCTACACTAGGAGGACAACAAGGCAACTTGAAGTTGGAAGTACTTCTCAAGCAACAAAGGCACCCATAGCAACAATTTCACCAAGAGCAACAATGACACCTAGAGCACCACCAATGGCACAACAAGTGGTGGAAGATGTTGAAGAAGTTGAAGATGAAGAGTTAGAGGAAGATGTTGAAGAAGTTGAAGAATTGGAGGAAGATGTTGAAGAAGTTGAAGATGAAGAATTGGAGGAATATTTTGATGATGCTACATGATTTCTATGTTTGCTTGAATTTTCATATGATAGTACTAAGTTTGAATTTGAATCTTTATGTTTTGAATCTTGATTAAACATTGTTCTTTGTTTGACATTAGATTTTATAAATATTTTATGAGTGTTGTGAAATTAGTTTAGTATTATATGACATATATTTTATAGATTATTATAATATAATTATTAGTATATAAAAGGTTATCCCGCTATCCGGGATCCCGCTACCCGGGATCCCGCTATTCCAACTTTTCCCATTCCCGGGGGTCGGTCGCTCCGCTATCCGGGATTAATAACTCTGAGCAGAATAATGTAGGTGTGGAGAGTTGGGAACTGCCTAGACAAAACCATACTACTCTAACCATGCCCTTCTCAAAATGAGAAAAGGAAAAGAAAATGGTCCAAAGAGGAAAAGTTATAAAGCAAAACACGATCTAGGAAATATTAGAGCAACACAAAAGATACCTGCATCTTTAGCAGCACCTGGAATTGCTTGTTGACTAGACGGGGAATGTAAGGAGTTGGGCTGCTGTAGCGAGACAGAAGAAATACCACCGAGACTCGGGGATTGGGCTCCAAGTCCCATACTAGATTGTGAAGAAACGGATGAGCCTTGAGAGTTGAACTGCACATATTATGGCATGTCATACAAAATATTGAAATAACTTACACTTAATCATGCAATTGGTCCCAGCAAATAGGAGTCACTTGAATTGTGGTCCCAGTAATTCCAAATTCTTTCAATTTGACACACTGCAATTTCAAATAATTTTCAAATTGATCCCAGTTGAATTTTTGCTGAAGTGTCATTGGTGACAGTGTTTTTCACTTAGGGACCAATTAACAAATTCAAATGAACGAAACACCTAGATTTAACATCTATTTAGGGATCAATTAACTACATTTAAAGAGACAAATTAGATTTATGTATTTTTTGTTTTTCACTACTGATATACTGCACATTGGCTGTATTTATTTATTAAGTTTGCGATTTAACTCGCTAACAAATCAGTAATTACTCTAACAAAAAATAACCAACTAATAGTTTATTAAAACCAAGTTAACAGAGAGTATGATATATGCCATCAAAAATAATTTTCTAGTGTCACCTGTATTTCTTATGTAATGAGATACAGTTGTATATTATCATTTCAAAGAAAAGAAAGCCATTAACTAGAAAAGTTAAATTTATATCGAAGAGAAAATGGAAGGAAAATGAAGAAGGGTCCTGAAGTGTAAAAACTTTAAGGTTTAAAGCTTTGGTATGTTTGAACCTCAATACCATATATACTACTTCCTCCATCCCAAATTATAAGACACTTTGGAGAAAAAAAATTGTCCAAAATTATAAGTCACTCTACATTTACAATGCAACATTAATGATATTTTTGGGACGGAGGTAGTAATATTTATCATGCAGTTAACAATACAAGTTTGTCAAACCAATGACACGTCACCATGAAGAGTTCAAACTATACTTGAAACTACAGGGTGAAATATCAAACAATATTGAATGATCCACTAAGTAAGATTATAATCTGAATGTCAAAAATTCTTAATTGTTTCTGAAGCAATCATAAAAGATCTTGGCTTTTTCGTTTCCATAAATAGTTTCTGTAGCTCACCTATGATTTCGTAGAGAAGCAAAGGAAAATAGAAATTACTTCTAATTTTACTTGCAATGTTATCAAGACGTGCCAAGAGTTTATAGTAAATAACCATTTGAAAAATTATTGAACTATACCAATATCAGAAGGAAATGTGATTGCATATATTGGCCAGACAACTCAAAGATACAAGCCAAAGCCAAAACCACAACAGCAACTCTCTTGTATCACTAAAACAGAACAAAAATATATAGGACCCTAAATGAACGTTTAATTTCTTAACCGAATTTTTTAAGATATAGTTAGGAACAGGGATAAAATATTTAATTTGAAGAAACAGAGGAGAGAAAGAGCATGATGGGCACACAGATGCATTTTGGCCATAATGAAATTTCAAATAGAAGTAAAACTGTACAAGAACAAGTAAGCAAAGAGTACCTGCTGCAAAAGTGGACTTTGTTGTTGGGAAGAAAACTGCTTATGATTTCCTGCAACAAGGGAAGGCATATTAAGAAGGGTACTGGGCCCTTGTTGCACTTGCTGAAACTTCTGCAAAAACTTCTCCCTTTGATCAGGAGCTATTTCAGTTCTTCCACGGAGTTGCCCCTGAATTTTAAAACGAACAAATCCCTTCAATGGAATTAACTTTACATAGATAATGAAATACATAGGATGATACTTTATTTCAAACCTTAAAAATAAATTACTTTCCAAACTACTTGTAGTGGTCTGTTTAGCATTCAAACCCATCAATGCATTTATATATCATATTGAATACCGTAAGATACATTTTATAGTTTAACAAAGGCAAATGAAAGCTTAAATTTGTTGAAACAATAAACAATTCATTTTTTGTAGGTACCTATGTAAAAATTCATATGCCTAGTTAGAGCAAAAAACAAGAAAATTTAAGGACAAAAATTTACCGCATCATTCTGATTCGGAAAGGGACTTCCAGGCCTCCATTGCATGCCGGGAACCACAGAAGGGGAGAAAACTCTCCCAGATACAGCTGCAGCTTCATTAACAGTACTAGAGTCAACAGAGGCAGTTCCATCATTAGTCTTCCCAACCTGAGGCAAGATCAACCTATTGCTTAGCGGTGATACAAGAGGTTGCACCATTCCACTACTTCCAAGTCTATCATCAGCTGCCAATATATTTCGCTTAGTTATTTCTGATGCTGAAGGGAGTGAACCAAAGGCTCCATTACCAGAAACCATGTTTCCGGAACCAAGAGGGATGCTGGCTGTTGCTTGATTTGACAAGCTGTTTCTGCCCCGCACAAGAGCTGCATCAGAAAGCGAAGGAGATGGCCTACGGCTAGGGAAGCTGTTAATATCTTCTTCCTTTGTAGAGGCTGACTGATTTACATTAGCATTCTCCAAAACATTTCGAACAGAACTTGAGACAGAAAAGACTGCAGCAGCCGGTGAACTGGACAAGTTATGACCTGAAACATTCACAAAAGCAGGAGCGGCATTGTTCCCGGTAGGTGTTGAAGCAGAAGAGCTGATTCCGCCACTTTTAGGAGGTGGAGTTTTGGCCACAATGTCAGAATTGCTATCTTGAGACGCTGTCTCGTCAGCTTGCTCCTGGAGAGAAGCATTCCAACGATTAAAAATCAGTTTCCTAAGAGGGGAACAACAATGATGTCCATCTATTTAAACAGCAACTAATGAAAATGCAGCTTTTCTTCCCTTGACTGATAGTCGGGTAAATGATAATTCAACCAAGTGCACTTGGTAGAGACTGCAGTCTTTAGTCCATTATTTATAATATTAATCTTCAATGTGTGCTATTCGATATGCCATCAGAAATCTTTTAAATTTAGTGCGTGTAAGATGGATATTGAAAATTTTGGATTAAAATAACAGTTTGTTTTCTGCGTGTCAGGTATTTTAACCTTTCATGTTACACGCTAAGTTATTTATCACCACTCATGGTGACAAGCATCCCAATTTCACAACCATGCTCCTATTTCAGTACTATTTGAAGCAAAGTAGGAAAAACCTTCCTATTAGAAAGAATGACTTGAATTCACTATTTATCAATCATCATTGCAAACCAATAACCATTACCATCATAATACAACTAAAGGGGATAATCTCAATGTCATTTATGTAACGAAATATCTGACAGGAGCATAGAGTAAATTTAAATACATAATAGAAAGAATCCCGAAGAAAAAAATCTGAAACATCCTTAATTACAATTTTCCATAACAGGACTTACAGAAACATTTTCAGGTCATAAAAACAAGAAATACATACAGATGTTTGTGATGACGCTGACTGTGATGCCGATACTGCCAAGGGACTCTTCAAGCTAAGACCAGGTGCCACCTGAAAATACATAATAAATATGACTTCTACGAAGAATTATTCAATTAATATAATAAGTCAGAATAAAAAAAAAATTTGAATAACAAAGGGAGTTCAAAAATAAGGGCCTAGAGTAAAAAACCCAGCATATAACAACAATAACACTATCCACCAAAGCCAATTCCCACCAGGTGGAAATAACTAGATGGATCAAATGATGCTGTAATACCTTATCATGAATCATCATATGTATAATAATAAGGCATTGAACTCCAAATACTTCATAATGGTTCAGCCAATAGGTTTGCTAAATATCTCCCCCTATTTCTAGTTATTGGACTGTCCCTCATCTGGGGTATCCTCCTTGCCAACACTTCTAAATGTGTTATCCAATACGCCCATCTCACCTAAGGCGGGATTTAACTATCTTTTCCTTTAACTTCCTCACTAATGCATTCCCATTTTGTTATGCGACCCACAAAACCGGCTAGTAAGTTAAAAGATGTTTCCCATTTATAAATACTTTACCAGGTCATACAACATGGGACTCTCAAGAACCCAAAACAAGGATTACCTTAATTTCATAGAGATATATAACATATTAGCAACAAACAAAATAGACAATCTAATATGAATTTCAAGGAAAAAATTATAATATGTCAATTAAATGATATATGCCAAAAACCAATAACACAAATCTACATATGATTGAAATGTATTTGTGTGCAAGCTATGCATGTTTGCAACCAAAAAAAAAATGAATAAACAAATACCTTTGCAAGACCAGTGGGAATTGTAACAAGATCTTCTAGAATCTTCCCTTCGTCTAAAGGCAATGAACTGATTGTCTAGAAAAATAGACAACCCAATACGGAAAATTCAAGGCAAAAAAAAATGATAATATGCAAAAATTAAATTATGTATGCCAAAGCAATAACACAAATCTACATATGATTCGTACATTCGTGGGTGCAAGTTGTGCCTGTTTGCATCCAACCAACAATGAATAAACAAATACCTTTGCGACCGCAACACTTGTGGGAATTGTAACAAGATCTTCTAAAGTATCAACCTTATCTAAAGGTAATGAAATGTATAGTTCATCAACATCATCAAATTCGTCAAAATCCTCCTGTGAAAGAAAAAATTAATAAGAAAAAGAAATAGAAAATCAGTATGAAATGAGTCATAAATTTTTTAGAGGAATTATCTCCACCCTCCAACATGACTTTGGAGTTAAATTTTGTGCAATCCCAAAGTATATTTTTGGATAAAATATGTCACCTGGAAGTACACTTCTAAAAAAGTGTGCGCGGTTTTTAGAAATGTGGTGTATGGGGAAAGTTCCACCCAAAGAAATATTGGAGAGGAGGTAAGGGGGAATGTTTCATTTCAAAACTTCAAAAATTATAAAAATGAACAAGGAAATACTGGAAAACTTGCATGATATTACCTCATTTCATTCCTATTATTTTGAAATATTTTCATGCGAGGACAGCTGAGATTTTACTTAAAATATAAAATGATCCCTCCTTTATCTTCCCTCCAAATACACTCTAAAGGACTCCCATAAATAAACAAATAAATAATGTATATATAAAGGTCATATGGATGTATCAACAACATTTACTCAGTTTCCAACTTCTCAAAGCATAATGATTTCTAAAAGACAAACCTGATTTCGCTCTACATAATCATCCAAGAAATCCTTCACATCATTAACCTGCTCTGGACTCAATTCGTCATTATCTAGAAGTCTCAAAACTAATTCACATTTCTTTATATGAGCCTTGTGCCGAGTAATTGATGTCTCCAGATGCGTCTACAAATCAAACAAAATGTGTCAATGACCATGAGAAAGGAAACAATTATCATTCCCGTACACTATATGTCCTGAACTCCGTACCAATCTAGGAGGCCTGTTTTTTCCTTTCTTGACTGTAAGGCCTTCAAGCTCAGCTTCAAAGTTATCAATCTGAGATTCTAACTCTCCAACCTACTCACATATTCAAAAGACAATACAAAGAACATAAGGTAAATGATAAGCAAGACATATATGTACATGAGTCAGGCTAATATGATCTCACTCATAAAATTATAAGATCAAGGAGACAGCATAACAAAAATTGCCGTGAAAACAGGTTCAAACTTTTGATACAGAAAATATGGAAGAGAAACATATCTTAAGAACCAAATGAATTTATGCATCGTTAAGAGTAGAAAGGTCTCAAACTAGACTACAAGTACAACTTATATCGTGTTGCAATGAACATTATATACAAGGTAAACAAGGTCAACTACTTTCTTAAGCAAGCACTCTGCTAGCCATACTGAACACAACAAAGCCAAATCGGAGATTATTCAAAGGAAATGATTCCATACCACGTTGTTTAACCAATCCCTCGTCTCTGATTTAGCCTTCTCTCTTGGATCCTATCAGAAAACAGTCAGATAACAAATTCTTCAGCACAATACTGACATAAACATAACCACTTAACACCAGAAAAAAAAAAACCGTGAATTGGTAAAATGAAAGAAAAAGAAGTAACATCTCCCCGATTCAAAGACTCACAGTCTTCGGCTGTTGACCCAAGCCTTCTTTAGAAAATGCTTTTGTCTTAGTTTCCTTCTCACATATCTTAAATCTTTCCATTTCTCGTTCAATTAACTTCCGAGCATCTACCAGAGCCTGCTCATATGCCGCACTAACCTACATCAAGGATAAAAAGCTATGTCATACTCAAAGCCTGTGATTTAAATTCCAACATTTCTCATTCAAATCAGCACACAACATAAGCCAAATCAAGCAGCACTACAATTAATTAAGTTAACAAAATCCACTAAATTCACATTCAAACTAGTTTCAATTAACTTATTTTAAGTTCAAAACAGCTTAGGGCACAAATAAAATAAATTAAAATTTTCAGCATTTTAATTGCGTTATTCAACAATTATGAGCAAATACCTTCTTATCCTTGATCTCACTGGATTGAATCCAAGTCTTAATCTGATCTCTATACCTCTGGAGCTTCTTAATCTCCTTTTTGAGGTCTGCCTCGAATTTCTCCTTTTGATTTGCATTGTCTGTGTCGTAAACCTATCAACACAAAATAAAAAGCGATTAACAGCGGAAAAGCGCTACTTAGTTCAGAATTAGTAGAAATTAGAGTAATCGAAGCGATGAAAAACGAAAAGAGTTGGGGAAAATTAGAAAAACCTTGTTCCAGATACTGTCGAATACTTCAACGCCTTCCTGAACCTTCTTGAGAACACGATCTATCTCTCCTTGAAGCTTTCGACTCGCACCCATTTGATTATGGTTAAATCAATTTCATACAATTCGCGAAATTGTGATTGATCAGCGAAAATTCAGTTGGTATTTTCTTGCTCCGTTGATTCTGGTTCTAGGGTTTGTTTCTGCTATCACACACACACACTCGCTTGCAAGACGACGCGGAGATTCTACCCTGATGTTTATGTTCGTACTATCATTTTGTAGGGTCAATTTTATTTACTTTTTATTAAATTTTATTTTCTTTTCTTTCCTTATTTATTTCATGTTTTTCTTGACTATGATCAGTTTTCTATTTTTAATATAATAATAGTAATTACATAATTACTTCATTAATCAACTAAAATTGGTTTTAATAAAGATTTTAAAGATATATAAATAATTGCAATTCTTAATAATTTATTTAATTAAATTTTTTTTATTGTATCATAATCATTTGTACAACTACATTTCACTTCTCTACGAACAATTGATATCATTTTACATTTGGACAACAAACTTAAATACAAACTTTAGTTATTTCAATCTTAATTTTAAGTATAATTCTCACGATTGGAACAACAAACTTGCATTAAAAACACGCTATCAATCTTTGGACTTCCTATTCATTTCCTTATGTCCTTCATTTGTCAATTTATTTATTTCCAACTTCAAAATCAAATCAAATCATATAGCTTCAAAATCATTTTTTCTACAATTTCTCCTCTTCCTCTTTGAAAGCACATGGAAGAGCACTTCCTTTTTCTTTCACAATAATAAAATCAAATCAAATGCAACACTGATCCACAAATTTCCCAATAATATAAAAAACTAGAATCAATCGATGTGGTTATTGGTGGTCGGAGGAGTTGGCTGGTGGCGGAAGTCAGTCGAGTCTGAGTGTGCGTGAAATAGATGGAGCGTCGTAGTGCTCCGACGAGAGAAGTGGTTTAATCTTCTTCCACCAGATCTGTTATCAATTCGCTCTTTATTTTCCACTCGCGGTGCTTGCGGAATCGTTAGGTATTGCTTCGAATCTTCTTTTCTTTTTTTTGGATTTGGATAAGTTTTTTTGTTTCTTTTCTGAATCGGTTTTTATGATTGATAAATCTGAAGTGTTATTTTGATTTGATTTTTAAAGTTTATTGTTGAATACGAAGACTAATGAATTGGTTATTGTTAAGAATATATTGAATGCTTTTGATAATCGTGTGGATGTGAAGCGTATTCTGCGTGATATCGAATTGGTTCAGTATGAAATTTTCAACTTTCCTAATATATTTCAATGTATAGTCAATTAGGGTAAAGTTATTTGAGATTTTATTATTTCGTATAGCTATTTGTTTGAGTGACTTTCAGATATCCTCACTTTTACGCAAGTAAGTTAATTGAGTCATTTCATCAAACAGTTAGCACATGTTCTTATTTTATAAAAAAAAAATATATTAGATCTAGATTTATTCACCTGAGAATATTCACATGAAATTTATGAATTGATTGTAACTAATCTATTTATTTGGATTTTGGTGTAAGATGTCATAGTTATTCAATAGGAAGGGTTCAATTCCTGGAAATTTTTATAGAAAGAAGAAGTGAAAACGGGTCAACATAAAGACTGAAGAGTCTTAACAAATACTCATGAAGATCTAAACACTTTGTGTTCAAGTTGTTCCTTCTTCATGAAATTCTCCTGAAGTTGCAATGTAATGTTATTTCTTTCCTTTTCATTTTTTAACGCATATGAAAATGAATTTTTATGTTTGATTTCCATGTTTCTATAGAGTGTTTAGGTTTGATTTTTAATTATTATTCACTTACTGTTGATGGTTACATTCCCGATAAAGGGGTGGGTACACACTTTTTCATTGAAAGATCAAAATTTGAAATACTCGTGTGAATGAATTACATTGATTTTATTTGTGATTAGGAAAAGTGTTACTTTCACCAATATTGGTCGGTTACTAGAGAGGAAGGGTAAAGAGTTTCTGGATTCAATCTATAAGGATCCAATTACAAGCTTTATTGATTTCCACAAATTTTCACTCTCAAACCCTCAGGTCCATAATTTGAATACTTATTTTGTTTTTTCTTCACGTTTCCTTTTTTGCTTTGTATTTTTTGTCATTGTTATTGTGTATTGTTTCGGGTTTATTGGAAAACTGTGATGGATAAAATGGACATATCATTTTCTAAACTACCTGAATGCATCTTAAGTGAGAATCTAAGTGAGAACGGTTCATCTTCTTACCCAAGTGGTCAATGACTTCCTGGAGCATCCATTAATCCTGCACTGAATTAATATAAAGGAGTTGAAATTATAAATTGCATCAACAAATAATATTCTAAAGCCTTTAGGATGAAGGAGTTTGTAAAGTATGTAGGGTTGATAGTATTGTCCATCTTGCATTGGTGGTAAATAGTTTAATATATTTATTTAGAGATATTATTTTAAGTGTGTGAAAGAAGGTTTTGATTAGGATATGTTTCTAGAATTACCCTTCTAATAACTATTTTCCAGTGGTGCTATTGCACCCATATTTGAGCTTGGGTGCTCAAGCCACCACCAGTATTAATAATTCAATTGATATTTAGAATTAATAAAATATTATCTTAAATGAGTTTATATAAATACTCATTTTATAATTGATTACAATTTTTTAAAAAAGAGTTAAATATTTGTTAACATATTTGTAATGTATAAATTATAAATTTTCATAATTTCAATTTGGAAATAATGATAATTTGTTTTAGAAATACAATTCAATGGGTAGTTATAATTAGTAAAACGGTGTCTTAAATTTATTTATAAATATGAGTAAAATAATCTTTAAAATATCATATGGAGGAGTATGGTGAACAAGTAGTAGATTAATAGTATTTGTGTAAGTTGAAATAAAAAATCTCATTAATAAACATTTATATTTACATTTTAATTGAAATTTTATGAAGTTTAATTGAGAGTATTTTATGCCGCATTCCAATATAAATGGTCTAGATAAAAGTATATGGGTGAAAAATAATAAATTTTGTATTGATATGAGAAAAAAAATTATTTTGATAAACAAATGATGCTAATTAAATAAATTATTTCATAATCCTAATTATCCTTTTGGTATTATTAATAATTACTAATCAATAATTATTCTATATATCATATTTCATGAATAAAATAATTAATATATATTAGTTATATCGAACCATAAATTATTAAGTGTACATAAACATTAAAATAGATAAATCATCCTAACCTAATCTTGAATTGGACAGCTGGATTTTTTTTTCACTACACTTAATAAGTAATTATTATGATTTTTGAATTATTTTATAATTATTACAATTCTAATATTTTCACTTATTTTAATATTTCACTTATAATAATAAAACAATTATTTTAATATCTTTTATAATTATTATTTTTCGAGTGATAACTGTTGTAACTAAATATATATATATTTTTTAATAATTTGAAAAAAATTATTTAATATCGTTTGAGACTGACTTTCAATAAATTAATTTGTCAAAATACTCATTGATCCCTTAATTATAGGTCATGATTCAGTTTGGTCCATTAACTTTTTTCGTGTCAAATTGGTTCCTTAATTTTCAAAACGTAACAAACAAGTACCTTCCGTCAGTTGGCTCAAACGTCTGTTAATTTTACCTACGTGGTAGGTGAGCTGGCATGTTATCTTTATCTTTTTCGGAAGAATGTGGACACACAACAAGAAGGTTGATCGAAAGAATGGATGCGCATATCCGAAGATATACACCAACCTCCATCAACTTTCCAAAATTCACTGCAACCATAAAGAAACAAGTACCAGAAAGATTTTCGAAGAACCAAAAGATTTCATAAGCCACTGGTTACAAATTCATAAGCAATAACGGAGCAAGCGGTGTGTACCCAGGCGGCATTGATCTAGCCTATCAGTAAGCTATAACTGATGGCACTGACATCATAGATTGCTCAGTTCAAATGACAAAAGATGGAACTCCCTTCTGCGCAGCTTCTACATATCTAACATTACAAAGCATGAATATAACGAAAGTCAGGAATCACAAGGATTACCAAAACTTCATACTGATTTTGTTATCTCTTTTCTTTTCATCGTATACACCATAACTTCATATGACTTATGAGAAATAGTGGAGTTATTTTTACATATTAGAAATGGTTGGTGAGATCATATGTAAACCGACGCAGAAATGGAGTTGAGAGGTAAAGAAATTCATGGTTTATGTGTCATTGTTTTGATTAGAGCAGTGATGTGAGAAGTTCAGTAATGTTGAGTTTGATTTATATGAAGGTTGAGCAGAGGAAGAACGATTGTGGTGAGAGGCAGAGGAAAATTTGATTTTGGAGAAGATTGAGATTTGCTTTCTTTACACTTGTCATCTGGACTCCAGCTAGCCACTTCAGTAAGTCAAAATGCCACCTAGAGCCTATTTTTTTACTTTGACTAACGATTCACTAACAGAAGGACTAACATGGTCACCTTTTGAAAATTAAGGGACCAATTTAACACGGAAAAAAAATTAAGGGACCAAACTGAACCATCACATATAATTATGGGACAAAAATAGATATTTTATCAATTAATTTTATAAAATTAATTATAATTAAAAGAAATCATTTATACTACCTTCTATCTATAAAAACTAATAATAAAATAACAATTTAATTGATTTATTAACAATTTAATAATAAACAAGTTATAACAAATTATATTAACATGTAATATACATACATCACAAGGTTGAAATACAATTTCATATAATATCAAATAGCATCTATAAATTTAAAATACAGAAGAATTTAAAAATTATAGGCATACCCGACGGGCTGAATCTATTTTTTCGATGGGCCGATAAAATATTTACTTAAATTGAATCGATATTAGAGATAATATGTTTAATGACTTCTGAATTACTATAGCATATAACTTCTAAATTACTATCTTTATTTAATATTTATAACAATATTACACAACCATGTAAATAAATGGATAGATATTTATATTGACTTTACGTGACCCGTG